GTCTCTATACTCCACTTAACAATTAATCAATTACGCAATTACTCAATCAATAATCGATTAATCATCATTAATCAGATAAATAGTTTCAGCCCTGGTAGTGGGAGTATCATGACTGCAGTCTTTTATTTGTGGAACATGCATTTGCACATGGATGGATTAGAAAAACCCATCCAATGTGGATTATCCAGCATGAAAACGATCCTCAAAACAAATCTATATTAGTTTCAGAGTTCAAAGAAGGCTACATTTCAGCGCAGTATTGTAAAAAATTAAACTTGCACATACAGTTCTCATTTTGTCATAGTCAAGTAAGTTTTAGTTGTAAGTCAGGTTGTATTACAGCCTCACAAATACTGTAGCTGCTGTGAAACTGGACATTAACTCAAAGTCCAAGATCATACAAGATGTTATATTTTTCGTCTTGCAAACCAATCTAAGACCAGATATGAAGTATTTATTTAGTGCTGCATCCTGCAATAAAATATCACATAAGCTAAGCTGATAATGTTCCTTACCTATGAAACAATTAAATAAACTTAATTTCCTAAGCAAAATGTGCAGTTTTTACACACTAAAGCAGAATTTGTTAAATAGGACATACCTACTTGTCACTATGTAATACTCACTTTCAGCAAAGTAGCTTAACACCTGAAAGCAGACAGATAGCATATCATGTAAAGTGAGCACCATGAGGTTTGCTTTTAATACTGAGAGAAAAGACACACTTACATCAGGGGCGTGTTTGGAGGGTATTTGCACTGAAATCCAGTCAAAGAAATGAACATATCTGAAGATAGAAATAAAATGGACCAAATGAGCATCAGATACAGTATGAAGCCATTGAACTAAAGCTACACCAACTGATTTTCTCCACAAGGTGGCAGTAAAAGAACAGAAAAAGGTTTCTCAAGTTGGATAAAGCCATGTTTAATGCAACATTCAACAAAAAGGGAAGATTAAAATTCAAACATTTGCAGAACATGTCTTCAAATTTTTGAAAAATCCATATGTTTTGTCTTTGTTTCTCTTCCCTGTGCACTGAAACACTGAAACACACATGGATCACCAGAGGACAGCAGCAGTAAAAGTGATTTAGAAGCGAAGGCTGCAGCTGATTGGAGTTTTTACTGTAGTCTGCAGTCTGAGGCTTGTCCAGGTGAAGTGAAATCTATTACTGCTGATAAAAACACGTCCAAGCAGCTGAGATTGGTGTGCAGGCTGGGAGCGTAATTTGGAGCAGGGGGAGAAAGAAGCAACATAATAAAAAAAAAAGAAAGAAACTTAATGGACAAGCTCACCTACAGCCTTATAAAAGTAATTAGACAGCTTTGCAACAGGAAAAAAGAATGTCTCTCACTGGTCGTCACTTGACTGAACAGATTACTGCTCTAGATTATAGATTATTTTCTTCAATTGTACTGGCTGATTTACCTGCATGCAATAAAACGATCCTTCTATCTTGACTTTAATGTATTTATGGGATGAAAAAAACAACAGAATGCAAACAGACATGAGAAACAGACTTGATACCTTTTGACCTTCCTAAACTATACTGTATAGCAAAAATTAGCTAATAACA